ATCATCTGGCCCTGCACGTGCGTGAGCATCACGTACGCCCGACGCGCCGTGACCGTCGGCTCGACGCCTTTGCCCAGCCTCGGCGGCCGGCTCGTGATCCACACGCGTTCCACCACGGCCTGTCCGGTGGCCGTCGTGTCCCTGTCGTTTCGCGATCCCTGCACCACGCACGAGTCCAAGTTGTACGTGAAGTCGGTGTTCAACTGCGGGTCCTCCAACGGCGCGCCGCGTTTAGCTTTGGCGTCGGTCATCGCGATTCCCACTCGGCGTCGATGGACGTGTATAGGCGGAAGTCGACGAGTTTGATGTTTCGCTAAAAAAAAACTAGGCCGCGTACGATATCGATTGATGGGCCGGAGCGTTATCTGAATTGTTTGCCGTTCAATGTCTGTCAGTCGTAGCCCTGCGTAGATGTGACCGGCGTACGATATCTGTAAAATTTATAGTTTGATGTTGTAGTAATGAGCGTCCAGAAGTAAACAAATCGATGCTCGTTGTGTGCGATTGGGTCGTCACGTGCGACGCACGATTGTTTGAGGCCAGAAAAATAATATATGATATGCCACGGCCGTCTACTGCCGATTATTCATTATGATCGCCACTGATCGATAAACTGCAAGTCGTCGGCAAATATTTTTACCTATCGAGCGACGAGTTCGATTTGATCGGTTTCGGTTATTATCATTAAAACAACTTAATGCGCAACAGACACCTGCAATATTTACTCGCGTAATGTCTTTCTTCTGTGGCATTGTTTCAGAGTTGTTATTTTTAAATTTAAAAATGGTAGGGTGAAACAATACCACCGTTTCCTAATCATAATCAAATAAGATAAACTTCCACTAGTCAGTCGGTTCGCTCCCAAAATTAACCAAATCGTCTGTATCTGCACCATTAAATATATAGATATAGTGGGTACCTCGTACCTAGGTTAACTATATGTCTACATAAATAATGGTATTAAATATATAGGTACATACTGTCAACATAATGGCATGGGGGTGGTAGAAGTGCAAATGTACACAATTTAAGGTATATCGAACAATATTATTAAAATACATATTTATTTGTACATTTACTAATTGAAAATATTCTATAGTAGTGGAGCTATATTGTGTACAACATTTGAAGGTACCCCGAAGTATGTTTCGATGTGGGGGATGTGGAACCATGTTGCAATTTTTTTTTTTGGTGTTGCAAATTGTTGCAATTAAGTTGCAAAAATATGGTACTAGTTTGAAGATGATACGACAAAGTCGGGGTGCCAACTTCACGGCGGTGGTGCATACCACATTACCGCAGGATACACCATGTACCTACGTCACGACCATGGAATTACCAGGAGGCATATTACGTTATATGATTTATGTACGCTGTACGGAAAAATTCATACTATTATACGTTCTCATATAATCCCTGATAAAAAAAAAACAGTTTAAACACAAACCAAAAAAATTGTCAGTAACTCGTGTCAAACTGGAGAGTTTTATGATAGAGAGTTGAGAAAATGGTCACGTCTGGACAGCAAAAATTACGATACTGATAATATTGCATATTCTTTTTCGTTTGAAACCATCGTACAAATTGAAACACTATTGCCTCTTATTTCACAATATTCGTTTAAATTGCATATACTTCAAACACCTCTGTGGCTCCCGTCTTGGACTAGGTCCATATCTCTGTTCGCCATCGGAGGCGCCTTCTTTTCCCTAACCTCGACTTCGGTCCAGCCAGTATCGCCTGATGAAAATGAAATGTATCCCTCAATCACCATAGTCGCCCGAAGAAGAATCACTAACCCCCTGGCATTCCCGTGGGGTTATACTTAGCTCTCAGTTCGGTTTTGGGACACGTAATTTCCTTTTGACGACTACTAAATGTTGGGTCATTAGCCCAAATTATTCATGCCTCTATCCAACCTGCAGCGGTTCAATACTGCTTGAGCCACCGTCGACGGTTTAGGTCCACTCTAAACAGACCCAATCATGGTTAGTGGTTACTAAGGCGTATGTCTGTCGTCCCGTCAACGCGACGCAACTGCAAAAATAAACGTAATCGCACCTATTACAACAACAATAATACATCGGCGGAGTCGTCGGGCGAGTGTGATGTCTTGACAGTAAAAACGCAAGTTTCAATTTCAGTACATATGTTGACGATGACGAATTTCAGCCCGACGAAAGGGTAGAAAAGGGACTGGTTTTTGCGTACATACCTATCGCGGGCTACGATGTAGAATATGTTATGTTATGCGGTATTCGTATACGTATGGCGCACAAACTACTTCCGTCGGAAATACCCGGAGCGGAACCACGCCATGGTCTTCGTCTGTAGACTGTCGTCCGATAATCTATTGTTTGATCTATCGTTGTAATTATTATATTATATTTTAAGTTATTATGCGCACGTAGGTGCACGCGTGGACGGCGAACGTCTCGGCGGCGCGTAAAGGTCGGCGGAAGAGCGCGTCGTATAATAGTCGTCTTCGCCGCCGCCGCCGCCGCGGTCCGGTGGCCACGAAAGGCTTCCGGCCGGGTCGCGTGGCCGGCGGACGACGGCGACAGCTGCAGCTGCTCGCGCGGCCCGGAGCGCAAACGACAAAATTATTGCCTTTTATATTATAATGGTCCGCGCACCGCAGCGTGTAGAATGTTATATTATTTTATGCAGTTCTGACGCGAAACAAAAACATATTTTTTGAACACGTCACGTACACGATCTATTATATTATTATTATTATATATTAGGCACATTATTATCATTGTAATCATCGTCGTCGTCATCGGTTTTTGTTTTTGAGCCGTTCGTACGACTATTATTGTTCTTTCTTGGCGACGCAACACCAGGCTTGCTATATTGTTATTATTATTATTATTATTATTGTTGTATCCATCACAATGGATCATCATGCGTCTTTATGCATACCTATCGCACAAAATAGTTACGAATAGACGATGGGTATACGGTGTGTGCATGGTGCTCGTTGTCATCCACCTGCCTGCGTGGGGTTAGACGGTCGGTTTGTGTCAATAGCCATATAATTAACGCCGTCCCCCCTCCCCTCCTCCCCAAAAAACGACCGTAACGTAAAGGACACAGATCGCCGCGGTGGTCGCGGTTTGGACTCGTGATTCCGTGATTCCCCATCGGCGTCTTTGGATAATATTATTATTAATACATAGGTAGTCATGGATTCAGGTACGTAGTGCAAAGAAATCGCCAGAAAATCGTGACAACGATCTCTCTTATGTTATATTAGCTCTGGTAGTACATATGAAAGCCAAAATACTAACTCTCAATAACGACAAAACTTATAAACTTGAAAATCTGGAATTGTTGTGATTCCTTTTTTTTTTTTTTTTAGTTTTCTATATATGTGTGATAGGAAGAGATTTCAATAAGTATTTGCATTTTCAAACAGACAATAAAATAGTTATTGTGACTGTGGGTTGTCGTTACGCGTTGGCTGCTACCAGTCGCAGAATGCGATTGGGAGTAAGTAACGACCACAGCTACTAGCTCCCGGATGGGTGACCACCCGGGTTCATAGTAGTTAAAAACCTTGCCACACATACACGTGTTTGCTAGCTACCGTAACAACCGTAAAAAACAGCCTACCGTACCAACCTTACCCCTACCACAGTTCATAACCACTACAACAGCTAATCTCCTTTGTCGCCGAGCTTAAGTTCAATAAAAAAAAAGTTGTTATGACTGGACGTAATTTTTTTAAATTGTATACTGCATCTATTTTATAGCTGTTATGGAAACTTGATATAAATAGGGTGGCGTGGATTTATTTGGAAAAACATGTTTGTAAATTATTGTAATAGTATATGGTCAGTTCTAAGCTTTTAATTATTTTCCTCTTTTATTTACCTTTCACATCAAAAATTAAAAGTATTCGAATTATAAGTAAGCTGTGATTTATAAACGTTTAAAATTTAATGGGTAGGTTTATGAAATTGCACGAAACATGCACAGATACATTTGGCTATCTGTTTGTTTGTTCGTTTGGGAAAGGCTTTGAAGCGGATGCACCGATTTTGACGAGGCTTTCACTGGCGATGATGTATACTCATGTCTTTCAATAACACTCTGTTAAGATAGTATATAATATGTATTTAGTAGGGTCGGCATTTATTAAAGTAAGTAAAATAATGGCAAGCAAAAAATGTAATAGATAAATAAGTAAATAGCCGCGAAAATTATTGTATTATTAGGTACAACAATTCATATAAATTGACGAAAATTTAATTTTTCAAAAAGTATTGGTTATAACTTATAATATGTTTATCATTTTTACTCTCGAGTCTGTGTTTTAATTGAAATATAATAATTAATTTATAAAAATATTCAGATGCTAAAATGTAAAACTCTAATCAAACTTTACGTATTATAAAAATTCAATAAAAACTTACATTGGTTTAATACTATCAATATACTAAACAATTAGATAGTTCAATTAAAATATATAATAAAAGAACTAAATAGCTGTGAAAAGAAGTATTGTCAAATCTTCAGATGAAATCCTTATGAGAAAAATATTACAATGATTACGCCTTGCGCGATTATGAATATTTTGATTCCCTTTAGCGAATAGTGGTAACCATATTTACCACTAGGTTATTTTCAATAAATGTGTGATATGACACTCATTATTGATGTTAAGTGTCCAATTTTGGTGTCTATGTGTTCTTAGAATGTTTATCATCAATAAATTATAAGTTTTATTTGCTAAGACTTCATTGGTCAGTAGATATAACAAAAAAAAAAAGGTGGTAAGTATATTTACCACTGCTCACTTGTTGGTCACGTGAAATTGTTCTTAACAATAATTGAAATATTTGATTTATCAAGCAACCAGTGTAGCCACACCGATGATTGTTTTATTTTCTAAATCACGTGAAAATTTAACATGATATGAAGTAATCAATTATTTTTCGCTCCTTTTCGAAAAGATAATATCCAAATTCAAAATATGATAGGGTCGTGAAAATGAACTGATTACATTCGATTACGGTTCGTGAATTTGCATCTTTGCGATGTAAACACAATTTATATTAATATATATTCAAGCATACAGGTATGTTTTAAATTTATACTTATATTATTTTATTAGCAAACAGGTATAGGTATATCAAATAAATAAGTAATTTATTTTTATGATTTTAGTATGGATGAAGATAGTGTAAGGGACTATTATAATAAGTATATGGGGGGTGTCGACCATTTTGATCAGTTTCATTCTTACTACAATGTGGCCTGGAAGTCCAGAAGATGGTGGCTAAAAATATTTTATTATCTTCTAGATGCTTCTATAGTAAATTCATTTGTGCTATATCAAACTACTAGTAATCTCCATGAACCAAAATCATCAAAATATACACACCTAAATTTCAGATCAACATTAGCAAATCAATTAATTGGTGATTATTCTTCAAAAAAAAAACCGGGTATTCAAAAGTCAATGCAAAGAAAATTGACAAAAAAAACTGGAAAAGTGATTGTTGGCAACCAATATTACCTACAAAATGTTGGTGATCATTTACCAACAAAAGGTACATATCGTCGCTGTGGATATTGTAGTACTAAAGAGACACAGAAACGTTCAAACATTATTTGCAAAATGTGTGATATTGCACTTTGTTTAGAATGTTTTGCACCCTTCCACAAGAACCCCTAAAACACTATTTTGTTGTATACAATGCATACCATTTTATTAAAAATGTAGGCATGTTTGAAATATTTTATATTATTATTAATTTAATTTTGTTTTTTTTTTAATTTTTAAAAAGGTAAGGTTTTGTGATGTATTTACTTCTACTTTGTTAGTTGTAATTATTTATTAAGTCTGAATATTCAATTTATAAAGTTTGAATATGTTTTAAGTTTATAATATGTATTTGCTTCTTTATTTATTTTTTAAGTTTTACTATTTTGTTTAATACTATGTAATACTATGTTTTGTAATTTTAAAATACTTTCTATAATTTGTTGTCGCTCTGTTTTTTTTATGATTTTAAAATAGCAATATTTTGTTGTATACTCTTTTATTTTATTTGAGTCTGAATTTTAATTTTGTTGTTTTATTTTTAATTAGTTTGTTGATTTCTTTGTTTTTTAATAAAAAAATAATATTTATTATTTGTTTATTTAATTATTTAATTATTTTGTACATAATATATAAAAAGTTGTGAATGGTCTGTGGTAAATATATATACCCCCTTACTTTATTATACATGAGCAGTGGTAAATATATATACCACCTTACTTCATTATACATGAGCAGTGGTAAATATATTTACCACCTCAAAAACAACCCCTCAGAACTACCCTGATTGAGGGATGTTGTAAATAACATGATTTTTAATGTCTTAAAGACTATAGAAATTGAAAAATATAATTTTTTTTTGTCTGTTGTAAGCATAGAATTATGCCCTTTAAAGGGTTTTAAACACAGAAAGGCTACTACCAACCTAAACGATGTCGTATTTAAGTTGGCTTTTAAGGCAAGTTAAAAGGCAAGTTATCATGGTTATTTAAACTGAAATATGCAGTCGGTTTTACTCTATTTCTCTAGTGCTTAATACTTTTTAATTTAATTTGCTTGAACAATATGTATGGTTAAGTTAACTAAGATATTATTATGTTATCTAAGATTTATGGTTATCTACATTATAAGCTTGGTGGTGACTACCTAAAAATAAATAAGTGTTAAATATTAATAGCAGTTGACTCAAAATTACAACTATAAATTGTAGTTCTCATTTCTAATTGATATTTTTTTTTAGTATTATTTACTGTAGGTAATTAATTATATTCAAAAACGATTGGTGTGATTATTTTTTTTTTTAAACTTTATATAACTATTATCTTCATCTTACAAGTGCGGAGCATGGCAAATTTGACACTCAGCAGATCAGGTTTAGTTCCGCTAGTTTAAATATTATAGTGTACTGACCTATTAGAAAATTTAAAGGTACGATTATTATCCATGGTAATAAATTTACTTAAATAATAACTTTTAGATACCTACGCATCACTATGCCATGGTTTTAAAGCATACAATGTATAATTTATATATGATTTAACTTAATGTACTTATCTATGTCTATGTTTGTATTTATAAAGTTTTATTTTTGTTGAAAAATATGAAGAGTGTAATTTTAGTACAATACATACTTTTTGGAACTATGAAATATTATGTCGACCAGGAACTTAATTAACACTATTGGATCATGGTTTTAAGAAGTTTCATCTCTTACTTGTCTCAGTATCTTGATCTTATATAATACCTTGTATAATGCATATATTATATAATTTTAATTAAGCAATTAAAACACAATACAAAAATAATTGCAACAGAAAATTAATCCAATTATTTAGCTAATATAATAAAATCTAGGTTTTTTTTCAATTGATATAAATTACATTTTTTCTATATTGTTATTATTTACTTTTTTATCTTTTTTCATTATTACGAGATAGATCGAATTTATTTTTGCTAATAAAAATTGCATAACTGTGTTGCATCGTAATTATAATTATGTTATTTCATATACCTATCTACCTACTATAACTAGGTAGCTGTTATTGCCACTTAAATCAATACCAGTGTACCTTAAAACAGTTTAATATGAGCATGGTATGATTAACATAAAATTATTTTAATTATATTGAAAATATCATTGTGTATAATATACATTCATAGTATGCATAATAATATAATTACATATGGTATTGTGTAACTACTAGTGTCAAATGATTTCAAGTCCATACGAGGATTTTTGAATAACAACAGAACAATTGTAGCAAAAAAAAAAAGTTATTAGGTTCGTTAGTATATTTGTTATTTTTGTTTGAATATCTAATTTCGTCGAAATTTAAGCTAAAAAATAATTAGTATAATGTATGTATTATGTATACAAAATTTGTTTTTGAGATTTTTAGGTTTATGAAAGAACTTTGTGTTAAATGTTCTAGTTGTTTTACCCTGAAACAAAATGTGTATCATTAATCATAAATAGAAAATAAACTAAGAAAAATAGAAAATTTAAAATATCTATGAATAGTATGAACAGAGCTACTTTAATTATATCATATATTATAATGGTTTGTAAGCCTTTGCAAATACTACCTACATGTAGAAATTAGTAGATAAGTAAGCCTAGATAACAGTTATTAATAATTATTAACGAATACGAATTTTCTATAGTTATTATTAGGGTTTGTCACACTAAAAATTATCGGAACATGCATTCAAAATCATTAAAATATGCGGTTAATTTTTATTTTATTTTTGAAAAATGCATAAAACATACTACACTTTCAGAAATCAAAAATTATCAACACCTACTATCGTTTCACACAGCCTAAAAAATAAACCATTTCCATCGGTAGAAAAATATTTTCGCCGAATTAGGATAATTTATTATTCGGATATTCGGATGTTATATTGATTTATACGGACACTATTGCGTGTTTCAGGGGTTTTTAAGTTCATGAAATAAAACTATTAAATTTTAAAAACTGGCACATATACTGAGTTAAGAAATAACGAATAACGTGATATGCGATCACCGTGATCAACGAAGTACTTACTGATTTTAGTTTCTTCATACAATTTAGAATTTATATGTCATTACATTTTACCACAAATTTACCATACTATTTTCAATAATAAAGTTAATACTAATTAATCGATAAACAGATTCGTAAAGTATTACCTGCCTAAAATCTTAATACTATTTTTCCCGTCAATTTTAGGAAAATAAAAATTTAGAAAAGGCCAAACATACTTAAATATGCTAAAAATAAGCACAAACTGCAAGTATGCACATGCTGAAAGTATGCACTTTTCCTAAAGTATGACGAAAATATTCGAAAGTATGTAAATTTAATTTAGTTTCTCTATTTCATAAAACTAATTCATAGCCTTAGGGCTTAGAATAACCCTACGACCACTACGGAAAAAACATGCAAATGCAAACAGTTCCGAGCCCTAGTTATTAGTTAGGTGCCTCTAACCTACGCCCGTAAAAACATTTTAAATTATGGGTAACTCTTACGAAACAACGATAAAAAATAACACCAAGTTTGAATGATTCTATTACCGCGTACTCCGTGGGATCATATTATATTTTGTACAGTCATCATAGGATTTATGAAACGTTCTCATCTTTTTCGGCGTGCGTTCAATAATAATTGTTTTCAAGAACTAAGAAACAAACCGACGGGGCTGCTTCATTATTCGGCTTGATCCTACTCTGACTGTAAGTATCTACCTACCTTTTATACAAAATATATTATAAAATTCGTAAGTAACAACTAATCCACGCATTAGCGCGGCGGGTCTCGTATGTCGCCAGGGCTGCGCACTTCAGCGGTGTTGTTTTGTGTGCGTACCTATATACAGTATACATGTACAGCAAAGCGAACCCACCGGATTTGATAATAATATAATTATAGCCGGGTACAACGTCGGAGTCGGTCTTGTCTTTTTCGTATAATTAACCGAGACACGATACGTACATATACTTACACACAATATAATATATAATATTATAATACCTTGCACACACACATACACACACACACACACACGTTAATTTTCTCCTGGACGATAATATAATATTATTGTTATTATTATATTATTGTATTATATAGGAACGGCGCACGCGCTTCTCGTCCGTCGTCCGAGACGATCTCCGCGCGGAAGGCGGCGGGACACGCGCCGCGGCGTACCGTTCCGGTGCGTTGGCCGAAAAAACTTTCTTTATATTATTATCATTATCCGTCGGTAGGTATATGGTACGCATGTCGTGTGCCGCGATGACTATATAATCACCGGCTGCCGGTAAGCCGTTGTAGTCGTTTCTCTAGTGTTATTATCGTTGTCGTTATTATTATTATTATTATATATATTATGTACGAAGAGCGAGGAGGTACCTACACAACTGTATGGACTCGTGTTTTTACAATTAAGTAAAATAAAAAAATTAAACGGAGACGAAGAAGAGCGGGAGGGGGGGGGGCAACAGAACAGAAGAAGAAGAAGAAAAAACAATCGGTTTCGGTCTGTGGACGCGTAAGTTTATTGGAGCGTCATATGTGTGTGTGTGTGTGTGTGTGTGTGTGTGTGTGTGTGTGAGGGGCACGCGTCCGTCTTCTGCAGCTATATGTACAGGTATGTGTGTGTGTGTGTGTGTGTGTGAGGTACTTATTCCGATGCCGTGCAAGACACGGAGGAACATATTATATACTTCGGCGGAGGAAGCGAAGAACACGAGGAGGTGGTGTATCGCGTTGCAGGTATACTGCTGTGTACTAATTAGTGGAGGCGCGCGACCGAGGAAAAACCCGTGCTCTGCGGACCGGCACTATAGACGCCGCCGCCGCCGCCGCCGCCGCCGCTTGTTGCTGTGCTCTTCCACACACACACACACATTTCTATGTATTCGTCGTTGCCGATAACAATCTTTCGGGTCAGCCTCTGTGACGCCGGTACCGCCACGCCGCGCCCGCCTCATCGTCGACGTCTTGACAGTGCCCTCGTGCCGGCCTAAGTACCGCCGACCATATAATATAAGTCGGAAAATTATGTGCTGTATAGTAATAATAATAACGCCAGTGTGAGTATGGCTCTCCGCCTCCGACTTTACAACGAATCTCCTGCGCGTACAAACGCCACCTGTCCACCTTCGTAGCGGTATCGTACGAAAAGCATATTATCTATAAATAG